ACTTATTGAACATATAAACCAATAAATTTATTTCACCCAGTGCATTATTAGAAGAGAAAATTTCTGAGAAAACATGTACAAGCGAATATTGGCCAATTTACACAAGTCGTAGGAAAAATTGGGCACCCATATTACGCATGAGGTTGTACATTTTTTTAGCACTTAAAAATACATAATAAACTTATTGAACATATAAACCAATAAATTTATTTCACCCAGTGCATTACTAGAAGAGATAATTTAAAAAAATGTGTACAAGTGAATATTAGCCACTTTACATAAGTTGTGGAAGAAATTGAGCACCCATATTATACTTGATATTTCTTCAGCACTTAAAAAACACAATAAATTTATAGTGTAAATATATAAATTAATAAATTTTCTTCACCCAGAATGTTCTTTAATTGGTAAGACAAATTGGACATTCGAAGAAATGAGCAAAGCGAACGATTTTAGTTTTCTTTTTTGTCACAGATCTCATTGACCTAATAGTCGATTGCAATTAAGAATTATTAGGTAAGCAAAGCATCTTCGTTAAATAAATGATTTTGCAATTTTGGTACAATAAAAGTGTAAGCATAGTAACAAATTTATTCTCAAAAATTGCGGATTATGACCCAAATGTTCCTTTATAAGCTGAGCTTTCTTGCATGTACGCCCACCGGGCGTAAAAACGCCTTAATTTGAAATTATTGTATGAATACTTGTGAGATAGTGTAAGGTATTTAATGGTGAGTCGCGATCCACTATAGTGTTTTTACCTGTTTTCCAATATAAACCTTACCTTCCTCAGCAGATTGCAACCATTCAACAAATTTCTTCATTTGTTCGAGGAAATGCATTTTGCCCTTGCTTGAATGGCTATCCTTGTACCAACGCAAAATAATCTCTTCCGATAAAACTTCGGCTAAAAGGATATTAAAGACTTATTACAAATATTTTAAAGATGCTTTGCACATACTTTTGTAAAAGAGTAAGATGATTTTTTGAAAAGCTTTCATAAAATTCATATTTTCATAACAGAAATCTTGGACTTTCTGAATCAAAGCTAATTCCGCGCGATCGGTGCTGGTAAAGGCCTGCATTAAAGGACAATAGCCTTTCAAATGGCGTACTGCCTGCTCAGTGACAAGTTCCTCCTTTTTATTCCATTCACCCAAAGACATTACAGTGGACCAGATCTGTAAACACATAAATAAACAATTAAAAATTATGTTCGCTTGTTTTGCAAAGAATCTCTTATGACCACTGAAATTTTGAACACTAAGTAATTTTGTGCTGTTTGGATTGGAGCAGTCTACTCCCACAATTTAAAATGGTTCTCACAATCATGCCTACCATATTACAGATTGTCATGGAATATAGACCGTAACGTATTGACAAAAATTGACGATTGTTTTGTGGTTGTTTTACTCTTTTAACTTGTAAGAAAACTTATTATGCAGAATGAAATAAAGAATGTCTTCTTAAGTTAGAAGCATAAACGTACCAAATGAACAATCAGATATATATTTTTCTTATTTAATGGTCTCACGCACAGAATGACAAAATTGGTATACTTTTATTTCGTGGGAGTGGAACTGTATTTCACTTTTTTTTTTTTCATTTTGCATTAACTTACAATTACAATAATTTCATGTTCAGGAATGTTGGCTTTCTGGGCAAATTCTTTAATGTCGGCTGTTATTTCGGAGTGCGGTTTCTCGTCGTTTATATCATCAATTAGAGTTTGTTGCAGCTCCCGCTTAGCCTCTTGGCTGGCTTGAGCTTTATGCAACTTGATAATTTCCGTTAAATCTTTTTCAAGAAAAACTTGTTTGAAATTCTCCTCAGTACGTTTATTAGGTGGGAAAAAATCCATAAGCCTGGTTTGAAAATATTACATATAAAAAAGAAAATTATTTTAACGCATCCTTCTCACTGAGTACAGTACTAAGTTACGTATTCACGTAAGAAACGATTCTTTTCTCATCACTAAAGGCAAAACTTAATTCATTTTTTGTTTACTCGTTTGTGCCATTTTTATAAAGAATTTTTGATAGCTTTTTAACTTTTACTGTGTTCTGTCTTGACGTTGTGGACCATCGCCATACTTTCTCCCAAAAGGAATGATATTAAAATGACATAACAATCGTTTACTTCTTCAACGCACACCGGAAATTCCATTACCAAGTTTAAAAGGTCTTTCACATAAAAATTTCTCTTTCACCTCGAAACGTTAGCTATAGAAATCATTGCGTGATTCACTTAAGCTCTGAGAAGTTAAGTCTTTGCTTCAGCTGCATAATCTCTACTCGAACAGTAGAATAGCTGAGTAGTCAATTTATAGAGCTAAGCCGGAGCGAAATGGCTTACGCTTAAGAAAGAATTATAAAATAATCATCCTTCCAGTTGAATCAAGAGCCATAAGCCGTCTTGCAAGCAGTTGGTCAATTCTCAAAGTTATAATTACTTAAAAAAAAAATACCAATCTTTTGGCACTACATACGGAACGACGTAACTTTATGTAAAAATTTTGACTGCTTATTTCAAAAACAATCTTTCCATTTTCAATTTACAATTAATTAAAGGAATTACAATCTCTTTCTGAATATCTCCGTAAATTTGATTGTAAATAAAACATCCAAACTTACTTGCTTTCCAGTCCCCCTTTTTTAAGTGCTTGTATTAGGGATTGCATACCCTTTTCTTGTTTGAAGGTAACAAATAGTTCTACAAGAAAATCCAGGGCAATGCCGTCTTTAATTAAATGTTCATTGTTGAGTACTAATAGAACATTCGGTGGCACTGAACCATTACCTGGAAATATAAAATATGTAGACAATTTTAGAGGATTTACTAATGATGATATAAAAAAACTGTAATTGATTTCGAGCCTTTTGCATTTTGAAAGTAATGCAAAAGTCAGTACAACCTAAAATATTTGCTATACCACCACGTATAATTTGTTACATTTTTCCCTTAATGGTAGGAATAATAACAAATTTATTTAAAGTGGAAAAGGATTTAAATTTTCAAGTATTATAAGAACGCTTTTGAAGTTAGCGACTTGCCGCGACGACACAAATCAGGCAGTTATAGTGGCTCCGAAGCTGACTCGATTAAGTAGAACACGTTGAAAAGCGCATTAACGTTAAAGAACGTTTCTCTTGAAATCGAACACCTGTCAAAACTTTCATGGTTTATATGTAGTAATAGATTAAACTAACATTTCAAGACCAATAAGTACAAAGTACGATGCTTATAATTTCGATTTTTAGAAACTGCATGTCATCCGGTCATAAAAACTTGCAATCTGTTAACAACAATCAAAGGCGAAAGACAGAGAAGTTATCTTGCTTTTACGTTGTGTTAAGAAAGAAGAGCGTTATAGCAAATTTGTTTCTATAGAGCGCTTATTACACTGACTTTAACGATAGATTGCATTAAAAATGGATTTAATTATTCCTTCTTATATTTCCCTGACTGAATACACTTTGTAAAATAATTATTGATTAAATTCATTCAACTTACATAACAATAGCGCCGTCATACGCGCCAGTTTGATACGTTCGCTTGGAGTAAAACCTTTAATGAAGACTAATACTTTCTTCATTTCTTCTTCGAACATCTTTTCCAAGTACTTAAATCGACGCATGAGATTGACGAAAACCTAAAAATAGGAAAACATTTAGCAACTAACGCAAACCGAAATTATGAGAAAAGAATGTATTAATATATCATATTAATCGTCAAGCGTGCGCGTACATTGTCTACAACAGTAGTTGTGGTATCTCTGTAGTTCTACATAAACTAACAAAGTCTTGTTAATAAACAAGAACGAACACAAGTAATCCTCGTGCTACACGTAATTAGTGCTACAAAAATGAAATCATTGGAATAAGAAACGATTCGCTGTTGGCGATATCCCTTTGCAACTCATTGTCTCTTTTCTTTTTTGGATTGTAGCAACAAATGAAATCTTTGTTAGCAGATCAACAGCAATGCTTAAATAAAGACAAGTAGATCTGTTGCTTTTTTTCTAGCATACTTGGAACACCATCTATTTGTGATTTAATCAAATATATAGCTCTAATTCATATGCCCTAGAAATAAAAAAGAAAGTCAAACAAAAAAGTTGACGGAAATGTACCTGCTCATGGTTGCGCATTGCTTCCATATCTTCTGGTGCTTCAAATATGCAATAATTTGTACGCGGCTTCTCGCCATCCTGTGATATAGAACCTCCAGGAACTAAAACCATCAAGATGTGATAAGTTTTTATTTATAAAAACATGCGCATACCTAAGAGGCCACCAGCAATCAATATATCAAATAGTACCTCGCCGTAACGGCGATAGTCAAGTTTATTACCAGCGCTGACTAAAAATTTTGCAATTTGATCCAAGTCACCACCAGTTTTTTCGAGACCAGCAATGACCGCGTCACGGAATCCCGTTGGGTCATATTTTTCTCTTTCATCTCTTTTTCTGGTCTTGATACGCTGACCTGATAGTACTGGTCTTTCAGCTTTTTGACTCATACAATAAATTGCTGAAAGAGAGAATTATTATAAAAATAAAGAACCGAAATAAAACAAATTTAGTGAAAAGTAACTAGAAGGCGACACATGTTAGAGACTTTACTGGCCAAATTAATTTATGAGAATTATAAATTTGGCACCCGATGATACTCTTAAATGTGTTCTGGCATTTTTATATGACTTAGATAACCGCTGAAATTTTTCAAGGTATCAAACGCAAATGAAAATGCCTTAAAGGAACTTCGAACGTTTTCTAACGATTTTTCATATTTCACGCAAACCTGATGTAGGGATAATTATAAACTAAATAAGATTTCGAAAATCTATCTTAATTATTTTTAAAAAGTATCCTTAACTTTTTGTATTGAACTATTCAAATTACACCCATGTCTGATTTTTTAACCCAAATGATACGACCAATGGTTTTCCATAGTTCTTTTGAAACTTATTTAACACTATTCCGCGCTTTATGTTAAATGTGTTTAAAATCTTAAATATTCCTATTATCGCAACTGCTGTGGGGCTTTGACAATGCATACAGTCTTTTGTAACAGCATCTATACTTTCTAAGCATTACAGTGAATTTTATAATGCGTTTATTCATTTGAAGCACAATGTTTCTCTCACATTGTTGTCATCACTGTTAACACAATAAATTTTAGTAAACAAGACCGTCAGAATAAGCCTACCAACCCCCTACGCAGCGACTGTGTACATTCTTGATAAATTCATGAATGATAACTTACAATCTATTTCAACTAAATAATCCGTCTAAGAAACCACTGGATCATAAGAATCTTGATTTGGGAAAACTCTAGTTATCCCACGTAATCAAATATATGTACGCGATAACCAAATTCCGCCGGTACGGATATAGGGTAGTTTTCAGAGATTCAGCAATGCAAGATAGACAATATCGAAATATTATACATAATAATGTATGCACAGCAAAGATTAACTTTCAAAAACTAGAAATTTGAAAACGAGGCCTGCTTTATCTCTTTGTCATGTGGTTATAAATACTGCACTCTTCTCTTTATTGTTTGCTCAGCTACTCATAACCTGTTATATATCTTTTTGAATCAATTTGAATATTTAACAATAATTTATATTGATTTATATCTATTTCGAGGCTATCCCATGGAAACTATTCCCTAATTTCTTAAAATACTTCAAAAACGAGAAAATTCAACATTGAATAAGTCTTAAAATGTCACCTTAAACTTACTTGCCTCAGTAATGACGTGTTTTCAATTTTTTATTCTGCAAACAGGACTAATTCAACAGTTGATTTTTTAATGAAATGTGAAAGCGCGTGATGGCTTTGTTATGAAAACACATGAAACACAAGAGCAAAGTACGTGCATGTAATTACAATCTCCACAAATTAAATCTTAACAAATTAAGTCCTGCCGCAACAAACTAAACGTTTTTGTTTTTCGATGAAAATAGGAAGCGTTTTAATTGAAGACAAAATAGAACATACGTTGTGCTTGCCCAATCAACCAATATTTTAATGAGGAAATCCGATCTAACGCCATTTTAGGCTGACAGGGTTGTATTTTTAAGACGAAAGGAAACAAGCATGCCAATCCACATGTTTTGGAAAATTGGATAATAAAAAAAAAGGTCAAGCGTTAACTTAAAGTTGTCCCTCTACAATTGCAACCTCAATAATATTTGCTTATTTTCAACACTTTGCACTCAGTGTAATTATTTTCATTGTCAGAAACATTGTCTTCCTATAAAAAAATGGCGTTTTCGTCTCTACGTCAACGGTAGCCATTTTCTTTTCCTTTGTTCGCTCTACTTTACTACTTAAACTATTTTATCTCTTTTGTAGAACTTATGATAATTTTTTTCAAGTTTTTTTTTATAATTATTTAAAATTTCGCCGTTATACTTACGATTAAAACAAAAAAAAATTTACACGGCCGAGAAAAATTTATATTAAAACGAGAAAAATTTGTATAACTTGCTCCTTTCTCAAAGAATAACACACTTATGACACGCATTAAATTGTTATAAGAACAGTGTTGCCAAGATGAAAGTTTGAAACAAAGAAGTTGATTATTGTAACAATAGAGGTTTCTCGTTGGCTTTATTAAAACAAATAAGACAAGAATTATGCTAGCTGAAACCATTAGGAGGCTGCACAATGATGCCTCATTTTCGTTTCGGGTTGAAAACTCCCAATTGGCATCCGCGCTACCGTATTTCTTACAGAAAAATGTAAGTAAAAAAGTTTTTTAGAATCAAAAAAGAAAAACTCAACGCAAATATGGGCCAAAAATTTATAAAAAGTAAGAATTTTGCTGGTCTTTATAATAAATAAATAAACTTTATGACACCATCGAAGGCTTTTTTGTGTAGTAATTGACCTACAATTTGGAAATTACATAATTATGAGTCTGGTAGAATATTTTCATCTTAACAATAAAAGGGCTTTATTGCTTGTTTTTCAGTTCTTACCAAATAATGCATAGTATAAATCCAAACTGCAATTTCCATATTATATAAAAAAGGTATACGTTAGTGCAAAGTAAACAAAAATTAGATAAATAATCTCCAAATTTAAAATAAATTGTCTTTATCCATCTTGTGTGTTGTGTTCTTTTACTTGTATGTATATATGCAAAACCATGAAGTTTTGTAAAAAGTCTAATTTTTCATAAAAACTTGCGGCGATTGAGAAATGTTTTTGTTTTGCATGTCAATAAAACAAAAGAATGCAACGCACCGCAAGAAATAATGCAATTTATTTTAAGTTTAGGAATTATTTATCTAGTTTATATTTACTTTACACTAATGCATTTTTATTTATTTATTTAGTTATTTATTTATTTATTTATACATGAAATTCAACTACAGAAAATTACAGTCGAATTCAGTACATGTTAATAGAAAATCTTATACTAATTGTTTTGAAACTAGTACGCAATAAACAGGAAGAAAAAAAGAAGAATAATAATAAGCAAGTAAGTTCAGAAATAAATTAAAAAGTTATTATTATTATTATTATTATTTTAATTTTAGACTAATGAATTGAATTCTTAGACTAATAAAAGAGACATTGAGCACTAGCAACACAGGCTATCGGCTCTTAAAAAGTTAAAAATAATAATTCATGTATAAATAAATAAAAAGGCAACAAGAACAGATCGAATATAGTTAACTTGCGTATATTAAGCATAGTTGCTTTAATAGACTTTAAAGGGTCCGATAATGAGAATAAGTGATAGACATCATTTAGGTTCCTGCAAACAACTCTGAGCGGGTTAAACAGCTCATAATTGTATTTACATTGACTAAGCTTAACCACGATAAAGTGCCTAGAAAAGCGATTGGGGACATTAAAGCTTATTTGACCAAGAAATGCAGGCGAGTCAATAGCACCATTTATTACCTTGATTACGAAGGAAACGCCAAGAACAAATCTACGTTTCTCGAGAGACAACAGAAACAAACTATTTTCATAGGGGGGAAGAAAGGAAATCGGATCCCAACACAAATTCCTAAGGGCAAACAGCAAGAATTGCTTTTGAATAGATTCAATTGAATTTATATATCCCCTATAGGAAGGAGATCACACAACAGAGGCATGCTCGAGTATGGGTCTAACCACACACATGTACAGCCTTTTCGTAATGTAGGGATCGTCAAGCTTTTTGGACCACTTTTTTATAAAACCAAGCGTGAACCTAGCTTTGCTTAACGAGAGCTCAATATGCAAGTTAAAATGTAACCTATGATCAAATAGAACGCCTAAATCTGTAATCGAATCGACGTCCTCCAACATATGCGAATCTGTGAAATATTGAGTAATGAATGAGTTCCTTCTTGAGAAAGAAAGCTTCTTACATTTATTTAATTTTAGTTTCAGAAGATTCAAAGAGCACCATGCAACCAAATTATTCAAGTCACTTTGAAACTGATGTGATTGCGATTCTACGGAAAAGAAAGGAAGCAGTTTCACATCATCAGCATACATTAAGATCTGACTGGAATTAATCACTGATGGCAAATCATTAATGTATAAATTAAATAAAATGGGTCCTAAGTGGCTGCCTTGGAGTTTAAAGATAAGTAAATTATGGTTATATTACATGATTTGCAAATTACGCATTATTTTGTAAGAAATTAGAGACAAGCAGTAAAGACCATTAGATTGAAAATATATTCATCCAAGTTTTTTTAAACAGTCAAAGTTGTAGTTCCCAAATTATAGATGCAGAATGCATCTAATATATATGTCTACATATATTTAATCAATTTTCTTTATCACTAATCAATAAATAAGTTTATTAACTTCATATTAACTTCCTTAATGTTATCTTACACGACTCTGTTGTTTCTGTTGACATTGATTTCTTTATTTGTGGCTCTAACACCATACATTTTCGTTAAATGTTTCTCTAAAACAATATGGTAGCGCGGCTTTCCATTGAGTTCCCATTTGAGACTTATTAACCCGAAAATCGAAATAACGCATCAATATGTTTTAAGCGCTTATTGTGTTAAGGCCTATTTTCTTTTTTCTTACAATAGCGCGTTACATTCGTTTTCGGGGTAAAAGCTCCCAAGTAGTAAGCAAAGTAAGCCGCCACGTTACCATATTGTTTTAGAGAAACATTTAACGAAAATGTATGGTGTTAGAGCCACAAATAAAGAAATCAATGTGAACAGAAACAACAGAGTCGTGTAAGATAACATTAAGGAAGTTAATATGAAGTTAATAAACTTATTTATTGATTAGTGATAAAGAAAATTGATTAAATATATGTAGACATATATATTAGATGCGTTCTGCATCTATAATTTGGGAACTACAACTTTGACTGTTTAAAAAAACTTGGATGAATATATTTTCAATCTAATGGTCTTTACTGCTTGTCTCTAATTTCTTACAAAATAATGCGTAATTTGCAAATCATGAAATATAACCATAACTTACTTATCTTTAAACTCCAAGGCAGCCACTTAGGACCCATTTTATTTAATTTATACATTAATGATTTGCCATCGGTGATTAATTCCAGTCAGATCTTAATGTATGCTGATGATGTGAAACTGCTTCCTTTCTTTTCCATAGAATCGCAATCACATCAGTTTCAAAGTGACTTGAATAATTTGGTTGCATGGTGCTCTTTGAATCTTCTGAAACTAAAATTAAATAAATGTAAGAAGCTTTCTTTCTCAAGAAGGAAGTCTTTCATTTTACTTATCATACCATTTCATTGGTTCGAAGTTGAAGGACGTCGATTCGTTCACAGATTTAGGCGTTCTATTTGACCATAGGTTACGTTTACTTTAGAATATTAGCTAAATTCGTAACATAGTTTATAACTACATAAACGAAAGAAAAAAAGATTCAGAGCCTTGAGTATCTTCAACCCTCTTTGTCTTTCCTTCGTAATATAAATATCTGACAGAGAATAATTGCTCATATTAATAAGTAATCTGTAAGTACCATTGACGATTATTGAAATAAATTTAAAACTATGAAGTAAATACTTCCATATTTTGTAACAGAATATTATTCTTAGTCATCGAGTCAATGCCAGACGCTTTTATATAATTTTTGCGGTTTTTACTAATATTTTTTTGGTGTGTTGTCCTTCTTTTTTTTTCCTCATGAATCCGTTAATACATTTTTTTTATTTTTAGATTGCAGCAGGCGTTGATTGTGTGTTCATAGCGTATGTATATAATTTACTAGTAAGATCTAGCTTATACACTTATGTTAGCTTATACAATATGTTAAACTTAGTTAAAAAAGTTAAACCTAGACTTGCTTAAAAACAACTCATCGACTGGAGCCCTCATTGCTATTCCTTTCTTACAACTACCAAATGTTAGCATGGCAACGGGTTGGTTGCAGACAATCTTCTGCATACCGGTTCTTATATCTGAGCAAATCTACCAACATGAGTATAAGTGATTTAATTTTCACAATTTGAAGGGAAAAGGATGGAAAAAAAGTTTCGATAGTCTCTCTTGCTATTAACAAAGCCTATGACTATATTAGTCTGAGTGAAGTAGGTAGAACTCTTAGTGAGTTTGGAATGCCGATTCCTTTAAGATTATCGATTTTAAATTTCCTTTCATTTCGTATCCTGGTTATGGATTCTAACATTGTTGAGGTTCGTGAGGGACTTCTGCTTTAATCCTATTTTCTTCAATCTACATCCGGCCAAGTTGCACTAAATGACAGTACACATATATGTTGATGATTTCCTATTGATTTCTGCTGGTAAATCTTTCAAAGAAGCAGTTGAAAATCTTTCTACTAAAGCTAATCTCAACCAATAAAATAAAACGAACGAAATGTATTTTGCAAAGGTTCCGGGATGTTCATACACATTTCGATTA